GACAGACTTTGAGTTTTGCAGGCTGGAAAAAAGAGTCTGGGAGATGGACATAGAGGCAGCTGCCCAGTAGCGTGAATGTGCTTGATGCTGCAACACTGCACACTTACGGGTGGCTGAGACAGGAAATTTGATGTTATGTGCATATTACGATAAAACAAGAGATAAGTTAGAAACCTCCAAACCGAGGGAGGCCTTCCCACCTGGCTCCTGGGCAGCCTGGCACCCACTGTGGAGACCCTACGCCCAACCCTCACCGTCAGAGGTGGACCATCCAGAACACATGCAGGCCCGGGCAGGTACACTAGGGCCTGAGGATGCTGGTACAAGGGTCTCTCCCCCAGTGCTAGATGAAAATGCCAGAGCAAGGGTTCTACTCCCAGGCATGCCTCATCTCATGCCAGATGCTCTTCTGCTAACCCCCTTGAAAAGAAGGTTCCAGAGTTTCTGTCTCCAGCCAGGCCTCTCTCTAGAGCTCCAGGCCTAGCTGCCATCTGGACACATCCACAGACCACTCCTACCTAGGAGAGGCTTAAGGCACCCCCATGCCCCTGGCCCCTAGCCTTCTCTATTGGGTCGCCATCCACTCTGACCCTCAAACTAGCCAGGAGGCTCACAGACATTTGTAGTTTTTCATACTTCTTCATACCTCGTGTCCAAATAGTTACCAAACCTGAGGATTCCACCTTGAAAATGCCACCAGCCTCTGTCTCAAGCAGATGGAAACAGATGCAGCACGACACAAGGAAACATTTTTAATCATCACAGGCCCCAAAGCAGAGACAGCATTTGCGTGGCCACAAGCAGCCTGTCTGGCAAGGGCTGTTCACAGTGGGGGCAGCTGTCAAGACCCTGTCACCAGGCAGATCCTGGATTCCTGCCCCCTGTGGCATTTACATCCCACACGGCCTTAGTCTTAGGCCCAAATCACCCACTGTGTCCCTCATTTTCCCAGAGACACCCCAAGAGTGGCAGGTGCCCCCACGCTCCTGCATCTGTTACCCACACAGTGGTGTGTTCAATCGAGACGGTTAAGCTTGGGTTGAAGCTTGGGTCAGGTGCCATGCTTGTTGACAAACCACTTCCACATCCTCTGCCGCCCAGGCCCATCTCGAAGGCCCATGCCTACACGAGGCCCAGCCTCAATGGGGAGCAAAGCAGGGTTGCGCCTTTCAGGTTCTCCGCATCGCCAAGGGAGGCCCACAGGGAGCCGAGGCCTGTGGTTGACGTGGTTTGTCCCATGACCAGCGGACTCATTTATTTGAAATGTTAAGCAATGAACAGGACTCTTAAAACACAAGACAAGCCAGAAGCTTCCCAAAGACTCTGGGAGGGAGGTGGTGGCCACACCAAGACAGATCTCCCAATGAGCCATCCTCCCCTTGCTGCAGCCAGGAAGGACCCTTAAGTCCAAGTCAGGAAGAGTGTGCTTACCTCAACCTGCCCCCAGTGGGCTCAGTCTACCTCTTTGAGACTTGAGATTTCACTTAAATGCTTAGCAAGGACTTACAGGAGGTCTGACACCGCATCCAAGATTTGTATCAGAATGGTCCAGCATGAGTGTGCGCATGTGTATGTGTACACCTGCGTGGGTGTGTACAGATGTATGTGAGCATGGGTGTGTGTGTAGGTGTTGACACTTGAAGCTGGTAAGGGGATCCTACACCCTTCTCCCAACTTTGGTATATATTTGAAATTTTCCATAATAATAAAAATTTTTTCATTAAAAAAATAAGGTTGACTGTCTGCCTCTGGGTCAGGTCATGATCCCAGGGTCCTGGGATCAAGTCCTGCATCGGGCTCCCCGCAGGGAGCCTACTTCTCTCTCTGCCTATCTCTCTGCCTCTCATGAATAAATAAATAAAATCTTAAAAAAAAAAAAAGAGCTTAGGCACCAAAAATAGGGTTAGAGTTTTGTTCTGCTCCTGGTAGCAGTAAGACTACGGCTGGATCATGTGGCCGGCCATTCCAACCTCAGGAGGAGGTGGATGGTAGGAGAACCTGCTTGCCGCCTCAGGGTTCTTAAGAAAAGTACAAGGGTTAGTGTGTCAAGGACTCAGATGAGAGCCTGGTACTAGCACGTGCTATAAAACCATTTCTCACTCTCACTACCACTGCCACCATCATCATCAAACAACATCATGCCTGTAAAGCATGCAGCACATGCCTGGCACCTGGCTATGAGCTGGACTTTTTAGATTAGGAGGGACTCACTCTATCAGGTGACTGGGAAAAAAAAAAGGCACTATTTTGGAAGTCTAAAATAAAAGTCTGGGTTCCATCAGTCAGGCTTGTGAGGGAGGGGCAGGGTATTGTATCCTTAGGCTGGCAGAGGCACACCTACGCCTGCCCTGTGCTTTTGCCCAATAAAGATCCTCGTTCTCGACTTTTCAGAAACCAAAAAATAAACTGATTATGCACAAGAGCCACAACCTATTTCTTGAAAAGAACTGGTGTGAAATTCCTGGACAAAACCCTCAAGCTGTAGAGTCAGAGGTTTTCCTAAGTGTGAAAACACAGCAGTAGGCAAGTCTCTGCTCACCCAAGGAAAGGAAAGGTCCAAGGGACCAGGCCCAGCCAGGGGAGCGCAGTCTCCATTGTTCCTAGTGAACAGGGTCAGCACTGGCCTCCACCAGCTAGACCCCCGTTCTGTTCCCAGGCTTCAGAGGAGAAATTGAATACCTACACTGAATGCCTGGGGGGCCCACAGAGTTTTAGGAGGCAGCCCCAGGAGCCCACTGAAGGGTGGTTTTAGCCTTGTTGGAGCAGCGCAAGGAATGTAGCCTCACCCAGCAACAAAGTGACATCACCCAGGGCCCCTGGCAGGACCACTCCTTCCTAAGAGCTGTGCGACCCCTAGAACCCATGGATCACCCCATAGCCCTGACCTCCCTGAAATCAGGTCTCCCCCTGCTTGCCCTGTGACTGTCAGAACCATTGTGGTCCATGTGCCACTGCTTCCCTGATGTAGCCAGGCTGGGAAAGAAAAGGATTCGTAAAGTTTCTGCATTAGGCCACTCTACACCTCCCCATTGGCAATCTCTGCCACCCCCCCCCCCCACCGCCCTGGGTAAAGCACTCTCTGCAGAAGAAAAAGGAGTAAGAAAACAAGAAGTGCTTAAAATGATCTAATCTTGTCCATCACCTTACAGCTGGGGAGGTGTGAGGGGCCCGGCCCATGACCTCAGCACCAGAGGCTGTGACACTCAGCAACAGCCACGGCTACGGACAGTCTCTGTAAGTCAGTCCCCTCCCCGACAGTCTCTGTAAGTCAGTCCCCTCCCCGGGCCTCTGCCGGGAAGGGAAAGGTTGGCCTACATAGATGCCCTGTGAGTAAGATAGGGCTTCCCTAGCTCCGTGATTCCTCAGCAAAGGGAAGCCTGTCTCTGCCCTGCATGCTTAATCTAGCACTTTCCACCACCTAGAGGGGGAGTAGCAGAAAGGGATGGGGCAGAGAAGGGAAGAGAAGCCCCCACTGCCTTCCTCGTTTGCTGTCCTCCCAACACCAGGGGTGCAGTTCTGGGGCCCCCTCCCCAGCTGCCCTATCCCAGGAGAGAATTTTGCCAAGGACACCAAACTGTAGTCACCAGGGATGGCGTTTTTACCATCACCACCTGTTAAAACTCAGCTCATGACCAGTTTCTGATGCTACCGGCTAGAGAGTTTAATTAAATATTACTCACTCAGGAAGCAGCCCCTGCCAACTCACCCTCAAACCCTCGGGTTCATTTTCAGAGAAAAAGAGAGAGAAGGAGAAGGAAGGCTGTGTCCGCTTCAGCTGGCACGGGCAGGGCGACCGGTCCACACAGCCCACTTTTGAGAAAAAAAACCAAGCAAGGAATAGTCAAGCCAAGCAGCTCTCGGTAACCAGCAGCCCCACTGCCAGGTTACCATAGATGGCACACACACACACACACACACACACACACACACACACACTCATAGAGACACACACTCACCCCAAACAGATGCACTCACCACACTCGCCCCAGGCGCACACTTACTGATGTCCACAGATACACAAAGGCACAGAAACACACACTGCAGACACACACACTCACGCACACTTAATCTCCCAGACACACACTCGTACACACCACCCTGACGTGCTCACACACACTCACACACACACACACTCGCAGTCTCCCATCAGGGGAAGCCACCCCGCCTGGGGCCAGGAAGCATTCCAGGAGCCTTTGCCCTGAACCCAGACAGGACAATCACCAAGGCCCCACACAACCCGGCGCGGGTTGACCCATCCCGCCGTGTCACCGACAGACCCAGGCTGCTCTGGGTTGTTTTTTTGTTTTTTGTTTTTTTTTTTCCTGTTTTAATCGATCTGCTGACACAACACTCGGCTCCCCCCTTGGTTGCCGGGAGAGGCTGCGGCGGCTCCGGGACGGCGGGGAGGGAGGCGCCGCCCGGGGTGTCGCCCGGCGGGCTCCCTGGGGGAGGCGCGGCCGCCAGGGCGGGGGAGCCCCGAGGGGGCCAGGAGGGCCGCGCCGAAGATCCGGGTCCCGACTGGCGGGAAAAGCGAAACTAAGTTCGCGGAGCCGGGTCGCGCTGCCCCGCGTGGGAGGGGCAGGTCGGCGCCCCCGCCTCGGCCGCGGGGACCGTCGCGGGAACTGGGGCCCCGGGCGCCCGGGCACCTGGAAATCGGCGGGGGTCCCTCCCCGCGTCTGCAGGCAGCCGAGCTTCCACCCCCGGCGCGACGGTGTCCGCGCCGCCAGGACCCCCGCCCCGCCTGGCCCCGCAGGTGGGACCCCTGGCCGCCGCGGCCCGCACCCGCGCCCGCACCCGCGCCCGCGCCCGCACCCGCGCCCGCGCTGGGCGGCGCCCGGCCCCCTCGCCCGGGACCTGCGGGAGGGAGGGGTTCCCCGCGGCCCCTCACCCACCAGGGCCCCAGCGCGCACCCGCGCCCGCCAGCCGGTCCCCGAGGGCCACGGTCCCCGCGCCCACCCGCGCGGACCCCACCCCGTGCCCGGCCCGTGCCCCGCTCCTACCGCGCCTGGGAGGCCGCCGCCGCCGCTCTTCGGGCCGAGGAGGCCGCGCCCGCCGCGGGGAGAGGAGCGAACTCGTCTCCTCCCGCGGCCCCGGCGCCAGCGCCTGGAGCCTCGTTCCGGCTGCGAGCGCGCGGGGAGCCCGAGCGCGACTTCTGTGCGAAGAAGAAAAAGCAGGCGAAGGCTTTAAAGTGCTGCGCGGGGAGCGCGCTGGGGGCGGGGCCGGCGCCCCGGGAGCCCCGCCCGCCCCGCCCCGCCCGCCCGCCCCGCCCCGCCCCGCCCCGCCCCTCGGCCCGGCTCCGGCTCCGGCTCCGGCTCCGGCTCCGGCTCCCGCTCCCGCTCCCGCTCCCGCTCCCGCTCCCGCGCGCTGTGCGCTGTGCGCCGCGGGGTGGCGTCGGGGCATCCTGTGCCGGGCGCCCCCTCGGCCGCCCCCCCGCCCCCCCCCGAGGCCGCTGCGGCGCGCGGGGAGGCACCGGAGCGTGCGTCCCTCCGGAGGCGTCTTTGGGAAGCGCCGGGCAGCCTCCACCCGGCGAGAGCCCGGGGTTGCAACACCCGCGGGGCCGCGGCCGTCCGGGGGAGGGGGCTTACTAATAATAATTTTAAAAATCTCCGGGGACGGTGGGGTTTGTTTCAATAACCTCGGGAGCAAGGCCTCGCTTGCCTCATCTGAAATTCCCAGCAGCTTAAAGTTCCGTAATTCGGAGGCGCAGGAGAGGAGGACGCAGGCCCGCGGACCATCCAGGGGCTCTCCGCCCCGCCCCGGAGGCGCTGCCGTTCCGGTACCCACCCCCCATCCCTCCCCCGCCCCTCACCCCCATCCCCCCGGCCCCCATCCCCCCTGCTCCCCCACCCCCAGCCCAGGCGCTGGGGTCTCTGAACTCCCGGACCCCGCGGGCCCGGGCACGGGGGCTCAGCGCACACGGCAGGCAGCGCTCCAGGAGTGTTTGTGGGATGAATGAGCGAGCGATTGCCTGGTGGGTCCCCCCTCCCCGAGGACTTCGTACAGAGTGTCCCGTAGCTCGTGGCTCCTCCAGGGAATGTCCCTCCGCAGCCATAGAACCGGGAACGTTTTAAAGAAATTCGTGTTTTAGGAGGAAGATCCCCCTGCATTTCTCACCCGTGTGTAGTGTCCACTGAAGGAGGTGGGGGAGCAGCGTTACTGGAGCGGTAACAAAGTGGTCGAGTTTTTTTTCATCTTTACTGTACCTCTGTAACTATATCAGCGTAATATGAGATTGCTGTTGTCAGACCTCTAAGGTGAGGGCGCCCTAACTGGTGCAAAGGCCCTGCTGGGTCAGAACCTCCAGCCCAAAAGGACTCTGTTATCGTTTCAGGTGTCTCACTTCGCTGTGCTGAAAATCAGCTTTGTTTTGTTTTGAATATAAAAATTACTAAGGCTCGACTGGTTACCTTGGGCAGAGTGAGCCTTGGTGGGCATTCTGGTGGCTCAGTTAATGCTGCCACTTCCAGTTGTCTAGGAACCCAGGCTGCTCAGGTGGGTAGCCACGGTCAGCGATCCAGGGCTGGGTGAGATTTCAAGAGAGCCCAGGACCCCCCTTCAGCCCCTTTGCAATGTGAGAACTGTCAGTTGTCCCAGGATGGAATAGCACTTGGAAGAACTGTGAAAACATCCAGGATGGCAAAGGAGTCTTTCCAAGTTACTGGTATACACCCAGAGTAACCGAATTCCTAAAAAGGACGGCCACTTCTGTGCTTCGGGTGTCTCCCTTGGAGGAGTAGGCATGGTGGGGTGCATTACGCAGGGAGTGTATGCCCCTTGCTCCGGCTGCTGTCAGCCTCCTGAGGGGGACTCCTCCAGGCTTCACCTCTTACTCTGGAGGAGACCTTCTGGGGCAGATTGCGTGTAATTCAAGTGGCAGGATCTTTTCATTTAGGGCCAGAGACCCCACCTTTGATGTGAGGGCCCTGAAACAGATGGTTCCCAATTAGGAGTCTTCAGCACTCCCACTCCACCCTCCTTCGGCATTAATCTTAAAATCTCAGCTCTGAGCCAGTAGGGTAATTAGATCCTGCTGACCTAAATTTCCTAAAGGGATCTCTGGGGAGTGAGGCTTCCTCCCCACCAGGACTCTGTGCAGGTAGGTATGGCCATGGCTGGAGAGCTGATGATCCAGCAGTGACCCACTACAGCATGGAGCATTGTTGCACAATCATGGAGACCAGACTGTGAGAAAGGGGTGTATACTCATCCTATCAAAGCTGATACTATTATTTGCTTAAAAGATACAAAATCTTACAATATTGTGACATCAGCTGATAAACATCCAGGAATTTGAAGACTGACTCAAGTCTGTGCTCTACAGGGGTGAGTAGGGAGGGGGGTGGCTCTGGGCTCCTGGTGATGCCACGCCTCCTCCACCCCCACTCCCACTCCACCCACACATTTCATCACTGGCATCCACACACACAATTTGTTCCTTTCTGTTATCTGTCTCGGGAGAAAATTAGTAGATAGCAAATTAACATCAGCTGCTTTTTCTGACAATAGAAAAATCTGTCCAGAAACATGTTGGACACCTTTTGAGCCCTCTGAGCAGAATCTGCTGCCCTCACAGGCTTGTGTCTCCTGGGGCACACATTGTCTCTAGGTTCCTTTAGCTGCCTGGAATGAACAGATGGACAAGGGATTTTTGTCCAGCACTGTCATTCATTGCCTATGTGACCCAGAGCTAGTTCCTTAACCTCTCTGAGACTCAGTTTCCCCATCTGTAGCAGTGCTCTATGTGTTCTCCAGGATTTCCAGGGTTGGGGGGAGGCAGGGAGGGGCAATCATCCCACAAATACTGAGTTTAACATGGGCAGGACAATGTGTTAGAATGAGATCAGAGGTTTTTGAGAAATTTCAAAATAATAGATGCATTTTAGATATTATTATTATTATTATTATTGATAATAATAAAAAATACTTTCCTGGTTAAAGTGAGGAGTCCATAACACAAAAGAGTGGCAAGATCCACCAGAACAGAAAGAACACTGAGGCATATTAATATATGAGGCACATCCTGCATTCCTATCATGAGATATACTTAACTTGTGAAGTGAAGCTGAAACAGAGGGGGACTTATCTTGCAGAATTTTGATCTTACAGCATTCATGAAATAGTACACTGATGCATTTTATACTCTTGGCCTTAAAAAGCTGTGGGGTGTCACACAAGGTCATGTATTGTTAGACAGCGACACCTGCTGGCAAAGTATGATATTGCAGAGTAGCTCTATCAGACATTACTTATCATCAGAATAAAGGGAAAGATGCAGAGCCCAGTTTCTGTAGCTTTATTTTTTTTAAAAGATTTTATTTATGGGGGATCCCTGGGTGGCTCAGCGGTTTAGCGCCTCCCTTTGGCCCAGGGCGCAATCCTGGAGTCCCTGGATCGAGTCCCACGTTAGGCTCCCTGCATGGAGCCTGCTTCTCCCTCCTCTGCCTCTCTCTCTCTATGTCTAAAATAAAATAAAATAAATAAATAAATCTTTAAAAAATATTCTTAAAGATTTTATTTATTCATGAGAGACACAGAGACACAGGCAGAGGGAGAATCAGCCTCCCTGCAAGGAGCCTGATGTGGGACTCGATCCCAGGACCGTGGGATCATGATGTGAGTCAAAGGCAGACGCTCAACCAGAGCCACCCAGGTGCCCTTCTGTAGCTTTATGAGACAGTAGATGATAACCAAGTTTGAGGAGACTTCCTGTGACCTTGAGAAGAGATTCTCTTGGGCATGTGACACTAATTATCGTAAAGTTCTTCAAAACACTTCCAGAGAAGGAAAAATGAAAAGGCTGTGATCTTGATGCCTGTCTTAACTCTTTACTACAGTCTTTCAGTGTATTTTTTCCCCATGGGACAACATCTTTAGTTATAGAACTTTAATATTATAGAATTATAGAACCCCATCATAGAAGTGAAGCACCCTTCCAAGTATTTATTCATTTGGTCCTTCAGTATTTTTTTTTTTACTTCAGTAGTGAGGAACTGAATGAATAAATATTAAACAGCACTATTCTGCATGCTGGAGGGAGAATAGTAAACCAAATAGACCAGGTTCCTGACCTTAGAGAATTCCAAGTTAAGTGGGAGAGACAGACCATAAATAGTAAGTGAGACCATTTCGGATAATAACAAGTGATAATAAATAATCATTTTATGTAAGTTTGCTCTGTGATCTATTTTTCTTTAGACAGAGGTCAAAGTGGCCTCAGTTCAAACTTTCCGACTCTCTATAAAAATTCTAGAAAGGTCATCCTTCCGTTCCCAAATGACAGATCAGAGACCTCCAATATTCAGGGACTCGTTTTTCCTTCATGACCCCACAGCACGGTTTGCTGTATTTGGTAGACACCTTAAAAAATGAGTCCAAACTGACTGGTCAGGCCTCTGCTCCATCCTCATCTCAGGATGAGTTCGAGTCCCCAGTCAAGGGGTGAGCTGCCTTGCTCCCTCAGCAAGCACTTACTGGGAATGCGCTGTGTGCTGCTCTGTGCCAGGAGCTTGTGAAGTTAGCATCGATCCCACAGAGACCAGTTTGAAGACTGAGGATGGATCAGTTTCCATTCTGCTTCACTCCTAGGAAAGCATCTCCAAGAGCTTGGAACTTTGGTCCCACCACCTCTTCTGCACAGAACCTGGCACATTCTGGCTGGGATTGGTGATGCCAGCTCTGGCTGAGCTGTTTTCTCATCAAGGGCGTCCTAAATCTTTCTTTTCAGGGATGTCAGGTTGGAAGAAGGAAGAATTAGGCATCCAAACCCATAAGATGGTCATATATATATATGCTAACATTTATTGAACACTTACAATATGCCAGGTGCAGTGCTCTGTGCTTTATGTATATCATCCCCTATGAAGTAGGTACCATGATTATCTACATTTTACAAGGGGGGACATGAAGTGATTTAGCAGATTATCCAGAGTTGCATGACCAGTAAGTGGCAGAGCTAAGACTTGAACCCGGAGCAATTTCAAGAGCCCCAGCTGTATCTTGGCCCAGGTCAGATCGATGCCTATGAACTCAGGGCTCCTGGTGCAGAGCGAAAGTCAAGTGCTGCCTTGTCAAGCCTGCAGAGGGGTCAGGTACAGAGCAACAGCCAAACAGGAGACAAGCCTGATGAGGAAATAAGTGGACACCACCCCCAAGAGG